GCTTTGTAGTGGTCAAAGACTTTTGTTTTTGTCACCTTCCCCTGCTTCTTTGACATTTACAATGTGGGTTATAGCTTTGAAAACTGCCATGATGTAATGATTTGAAAGTGAAGGCATTTCAGGAATCACTTAACCTACACTTTTAGGAGGGATTTGTAGGTTAAGTGAAGTTTCTCTGCAGCAAAGCAGAGCTTTAGCTGCCCATAAGGATCTTGTAGAAGGAAATAGGAATCAATATTGAAAGTTAAAGCCTCTGTCAATTATTTCTAATATAGTATTTATGCAGGATTAAATTGTCAGAAATAAGGTTAGCACTACTTGATGTTGTTATCTTTTGGGATGTAGAAAGGACACAATACATTTTGCCTCCACCTTTTATTGTCTCCCTGTTTTTTTTTTACTTAATTTCTGTTAAACTGTTTTTTTTTACTTGATTTCTGTTAAACAGCATCTGTGCACTGCTGTGTAATCTGCAACTTGAGTATTTTTCTTATTTTAGATGAAAAAACCTATCACTTTTCAAAAGAAATAAATCTCTCTGGCCTTAGATGGTAACGTTGGATTTAGAAGCTCATATATTATCATCCTTTTTTCCCATCTCTTTGAATACTGTCAGATGTATTCAAATATCACAATCTCTGTACTCGATTGTCCCAATTCATGCCCATTTTCATTGGACTCAAATATTTACTTAGTGACCTGGACAGGTAACTGTAAGCACTCAAGTCTGAGTATGGAAGGCTTTTCCAATTATTAGACTTAATAAATGCAACTAGACTGGCAGTGCTTTTGCCTTTATTTGCATGTTCCATAAGTTATGATCTTGGTTGCATTGAGTAAAGATGGTACCTGTGGTATAATGTATTGTAATCTGAATAAGCTTAATGTTACCCACTAGGTGTAACATCTAGTGTCGTAGATATACTTTTGGAAACTAACTAGGTGAGGCATATTTCCTCTGTTTCTTCTTAGTCTTTTCTGGTGGTGATGGGAAATATTATTGTTGTTTATTTAATGTCTTCCTTACTTTGGTATTGTGCTGTTGGTGCTTAAGGAAAGTGTTGATGTGTTCTCTGTTGATGAAGTTATTCCTTTAGGAAAAAGGCAGTCTTTTTATGAGTGGTATTCTGCAGCTTCCGATTGCATTTCTAGTGGAATGTTAGGCTATTTTTATTTCTGGTGTAGAGAGATGCAGGTGTATGAATGTTTTTAAATTTCATGTGCGTACTTTGGAGTATCTTCATTGTAGATTATTTACCTGAAATTTCAATTACGAAAGTATAGTTTTCTTTTGTACTCCATTTATTAATGTTGTGAGATTTAATTATATTCACATTGAAGGTCTTGAGACCTTAGTTTATGAAGATGTCATCATAAGCAATAGTCTATATATGGAGTCAAATAGATCCGCCAAGAAAACACTTGGCATGCCCCTTACATATCTAGTATCCCTCTATGTAAATCGACAAGTACGCAATATACAGTAGTAGTTGTATTTTATAAAAACATGAAAATATTACGGCAATTATGTATGTTAAACTTTCTGTATCTTACTATCTGTGTAACACGGACATATTTGAGATAATTTACCGTGTATAGTCATCCCTTTTTATTAAATTACTTGTCAAATGTTCCTAAAAAAAAATACTTGTCAAATATAGAAAATTTGTATTTTTCTTATTAACAGAATTTTAAGCCCATGCTTGATATGGGGCACCAATCTAGTTTGATTAAATTTTTAAATGTTAAGTGTGTAGTAATAACCTCAGAATTTAAGTCTCAACTTTATGTACTTCTGATGATTCCTTAAAGTTGTAATCGGGATCACCTTTCCCCTGACTATTGCAGGATAGGTGAGTGTGTAGGTTTGTTTGATTTATGGAATAATGACCTTTTTTTTCCTCAGGTATATGGGTTTTATGATGAATGCCAGAGGAAGTATGGAAATGCCAACGCATGGAGATATTGCACGGATGTTTTTGATTATCTGACTCTCTCGGCAATTATAAATGGAACTGTAAGTTTTTTTTTTCTTTCCTCTTACTCTTGGTGTAATGGTAGTGTAATCCATTTCTGGCTAGGAGGTCAATGGTTGAAGTTGCAGTAAGATCATCTTTGTCAATAGTGGGTGGAGACTGTACATTTGACACCATTCATATCCTTTTTTTTTTTTTTTTTACTGAAGCATCATGCACTGGTTTTTCTTCACACTTCCTTCGTTTTTTTAGTTGCAACCGTCCTATTTTCAAGCTTGCCAATGCATTTTTCAACCGTTACTTTCTTTAAATCCCAGTGAGTAAAAAATATGAAAAAGTTGATGTTTTCAAAGTATTTGTTGAGGCACACCTAACAAGATCTCACATTGCCAAAGTATAATTCACCTAAAATTGTCAAAGTAGAATGTGTGAATCGCGTAAAAGTCAAATGCTGCAGCCTGCAGCTAAAACTCTGGAGAAAATACGTATGAATAGGTTGAGAGTATTTGACTGTCTTTTTAAGAATCTTCTTTACTCTTTTTCCTGTCGTATCATTTGATCCTGGAAATTAATTGCTCTATCATATGACTCAAATACTACTCTGAGAACCTGTGCTCACTGTCGTTCCTCTCTTGGCTAATCATCTCAGTTTGATCTTGCAGGTGCTATGTGTTCATGGTGGTCTTTCACCTGATATTCGAACGATTGATCAGGTTCTGTCACTGTGCCTTCTAGTTTCAATGTCATTTTGCAATATGCTGTTGTTGTGGGTATTTTTTATACATTGCAAAATGTTCAATAACTCTGATATTCTAAATGTGATTATTTGACTTTATTTGTTTTTATTTTAACTAGTAGATATTCAAGTTTCTTTTTCCAATAAATTCCATTAGTTTTAAGGAAATCTTGATATTGTTTTTTTTTTTGCCAAACTGGCGTTACCACCCCCCCCCCCCCTTTCTTTTTGTTTGTTGTATAGATGCATGAGCTTATGATCATAAATTTGTTTATAGTGAGCTTAATTTTGATTTCACTTCTTTTTCTTGACTTGTCAATAAGCAGATAAGGGTTATTGAACGAAATTGTGAAATTCCTCATGAAGGGCCATTTTGTGACCTTATGTGGAGTGATCCTGAAGATATTGAGACATGGGCTGTCAGTCCTCGTGGTGCAGGGTGGCTTTTTGGATCTAGAGTGACAACTGAGGCATGTCTTTTTTATTATGTTCTGAACACTTTGTTTGATAAATGTGCTAAGCTGTATAACTCTAAATGCGCAGTTCAACCACATAAACAATCTTGATTTAGTTTGTCGAGCTCATCAGCTCGTACAAGAAGGTCTCAAGTACATGTTTCAAGATAAGGGCCTTGTAACGGTAAATTTGCTGCTTCAATATTCCTTATTTATATATTTTTTTAAGTGTTTACGATTCTGTTGAAGGATTTGGCTTTGATTTAACAGGTGTGGTCGGCACCAAATTACTGTTACCGTTGTGGGAATGTTGCTTCAATTTTGAGTTTTAATGACAATATGGTGAGTTAGGCGTAACCTTTTTAATTTCCTCCACTGGAGTGGTTAAATAAACTGACTGCATAATTGTGTTGACTTGTGGTCATCTGAAATGATTGCCTTTCCTTTTTCTCATGTTGGTTCTTTTCTTCTTATTATTTTTAATTTTTTTTCTTGTTGGGAGAAACTTGCCTGGTTTTATATAACCTGAAGAGGACAGTCAACAAGAAAACACATGCAGGAATGACCCTTACAATTACCACCAAAAAATTTCCAAAAGATAAGAGAACACAGAAAAAGAGCTAGACAAACATTAAAAAATATACATCTGCGGCTATTTTCCAACTTTTTACGACGAATTATCATTAGATTGTTAAGCTTACTATTTGGGTAATATCGAGAGAGATGGGCCAAAAATAGTATGCAAGTCTGAAACTTATCTCTTAAATTTCTCAGAGAAGCCCCTTCAATTGGAAGTGACGTCTAGATTTAATGGGATTGCCTAGTGTAAACTAAAAAATGTAATCACAACCAGTAGGTTGAATCATGGGGAATGTAGGTGATACAGTTTTATGATTGCTGGATGTGACTGTTTGTTTGATTACATTATTCTTGGCTAATTATTTGACGCACTCATATTGTCTATATGTAAAATGCATGGTTAAAGATTTAATAGTTCTCATTTTCCAGTCTTATGCATTCCTCTTTCTAAATCAACTTATTTAGATGCTATTTTTTAATTTAAAAATGTTGTTGCTGTCTGAAATGGAAGCACAGTTTAAAGTGTAATTTGTCATGTGTAACAGGAGAGGGAGGTGAAGTTCTTTACGGAGACAGAAGAGAACAATCAGATGAGGGGGCCGAGAACAGGGGTTCCATATTTCTTATAGACATTCTCTCTCAGTATTCAAAGACTTGTATAATTATTAATTGATCTGATTTTTCAAATTTATAATTTTAGGAAGGGGTATGAATTCTTGGTAATTCTGGCTCATTCATGTTACATTTCTGTCAGTAAATGCTTTAATCGCGCCAGAAAAAAATGCCCTCTTGTTCAGTCATGCTTTGTGATAACTCAGATCATATGTTTTCTTGTTTCTAGTGGTATATTTGCATCATTTTTCTAATCTATTGAATATTGATGTTTCTTTATCAAAGTTTTAGATTGCATATATAATAATGAAAAATATTCATTTGCTGAAGGTTAAATGATACCGAAACATAGTTGCTGGGGAGTGTGAACTGGTGAGTGATTATATATTTATGCAACTCTGTTAGGGCTGCCCTTAATTAACTACTCAAAAGCCAAAAGGGCAACTATAAGCATAGTTTAAGCTCTTTATTTATTGATTGATATTTTAGTATAGCTGCATAAGATTGTCATATAATTTCCACTCATTAAGAGACTTATTCACTCTTACTGCGCTAAATAGTACCAAGTAATGGATAATTAAAACATGGTGGAGTTGTTAAAGTTAAACGACGCTCGTATTTTAATAAGAATGGACGAATATACCCTTACGTGTATTCAATTCTTTGACGTTCTAACCTAATCTAACATTCTCTCCTCCCAACAAAGGTCATGGCCTGGATTGAAAGGCGTATTTTTTTAAAAAAAAGTTTGTATGGAGGCTAAACTACTGGGATTTTCAGAAAACGCCTAGAATTTTCGAAATCTCAAGGGAGAACGAAAATTCCAGACGTTTTTCTCATGAACTTTTGAAAATTCAGCTTTAAATATTTAATTTTTTTTATTTTTTGCATGGTTTTTGTTTGATTCGAATTCGGATTAGGACAAATAATATTCGGAGTATCATCGAAAATCTCGGTATCAAAGTGGTGTATTGAATTTGCCACGGAATCCGAAGCTTGATTTGTCTCCCAAAACCAACTAACTAGTCGTGGTTTCATTCCTGAAACATTCATAAGCATTGACTAGAGTTCCAACTCTTGACACTACTTGAACTGCTATAACAACGAACTGCAACTCTAGTTTGAAAAAGGAATCAAAGTAGTGATATTCAGGAAGCAGGAAAGAAGATGATGGTGGCACCGGTTGCAAAGAAAGAGAAACATGAGATGGAGATGTTTGGCGACATCAGAGTGGACAACTATTATTGGCTCAGGGATGATTCTCGCTCTAATCCTCAAATTCTCTCTCATCTTCGCGCTGAAAATTCCTACTCCCACCTCATCATGTCCGGTAATTCAACTTATTTTTCAATCTTTATGAGTAATTTATGTATCTAATTCTGATGATACAATGTGAGTCTTTGTATGATTTATTTTGAGTTTTGCAATAATCCAATTATCTGGAAACACGAGTGATTTTTTGCAGTTTTACTTAAAATGGTTCCGTGGTTTTACTGACGTACCTTCCGTGGAATACTAATATTTGAATCCCTCACTAGTCACTGTGGACTGTGGAGAGTAGAGAAGAAGCGAATAGACCAACTTTGATTTAAAAGTTTAAATGTTTTTCCTCTGAATAATTGTCGTGCTGTACTTCGTGACTCATTGCTTAGTGCTCAACACACTATCTTAGTGTCAAGTGTGCAGTCCCAGTTTGTAATGGTGAAACTCATCATATGTTTGTTTAGGGACCAAGCAATTTGAACAAAAACTGTTTGCCGAGATTAGAGGACGAATAAAGGAGGATGATATGTCTGTACCTTTACGGAAAGGTAACTACTACTACTATGAAAGGACACTAGAAGGGAAGGAGTATGTGCAACACTGTAGACGCGCTGCTATTGACAATGGAGTCGTCCAATTGTCTGTGCATGATACAATGCCAACTGGTCTTGATGCTCCTCCTGAACATGTTCTATTGGATGAGAATGTTAAGGCTAAGAAGTATGCATACTACTGCATTGATGCTTTTAAGGTAAGATTGCTTCTTACTCCTCACCACTATTAGTTTTGGTTTCTGACCTCATTTTTTGGGGGTGGTTCCTATTTCTCCAGGTAAGTCCTAACAATAAGCTGATTGCATATGCGGAAGATACTAAAGGAGATGAGATCTATACAATTCACATCATTGATGCTGAGACTCTTGAACCCATTGAAAAGCCTCTGGCAGGTGTGACCTGTGATTTTGAATGGGCAGGTGATGGAGCCTTGTTGTACATTACAATGGATGAGACCCTTCGACCTGACAAGGTATCAATTTTTTTTGTTTGCATTTCCTTCAAGTGTTTCAAGTATTTGTCAGAGCGACTTCTGCTTCTATGTCTAGCAGGTTATGCATGCCATTAGCATCTTTATCCATGTATGGGATTGTGGTGTTTTTTTTTTTTTTTTTTTTTTGACAACTGCTTCTTGGAAATAGTCATTTTTCTATCATGAAAGAGAATTTCTTTAGATATCATTTGAGAACATTTAATGTATCCGTACTACAATCTGGTAAGTGTGCTCTGCCCAATTCAGTAAAAAGCAAATCAAATTACAAAAAAAGATGCACGTTTTCTCAAAGTGGTATCAGCTATGCTTATCCTATCAATTATTAAAGGTTTACTTTCATTTAAAATTCTTAATCTACAACAATTGTGTTGGGTCAATATCTCCCTAGACCTGTTTGAATGTCTATTTTTCGGAGAAAGACCAATTATGCTACTCATTGGAGTTGTGTGAGTGAATATATTGATGCAACATGCAAGCCTTTCTATTGTGCTTGATGCTTAACTAGGACACTTGGATTAGGAAAACCAATGCATAAAAATTTTTGGAGCAATGCTTTTATTAAGGTGAGTTTGGTACTTTTGCTGGTCTGTTGGGGAAAAGAAAGTAGAATCTATCGTAATAGCTATGTTGCTAGCTTTTTTTTATTTTTGTTTGGGGTCTTTATATGCTCTGATCTTTATTCAGGGCTGTTAAGTCTTGTTGTTTTGCTATTGCTCATACAGTTCTCTATAATTGCCATCTGTCATTTTAATTTAGTCCAAAAAATTATTGTCAAAGTAATTCTGATAAGCCTCCTTTGTATGATTGTCATACTAAACTGACAGGTGTGGTTACATAAGTTGAGAACTGACCAATCAAGTGACTCTTGCCTTTACCATGAGAAGGATGAAAAGTTTTCACTTTATCCAAATATTTCTGAGAGTGAGTGTTATGTGTTTGTAGCATCTGAAAGTAAAACCACAAGGTTCATCTTCTATCTGGACACTTCAAAACCAGAAGAAGGCCTCAATGTTTTGACTCCTTGCACGCAAGGTGTATCTACATATGCCAGTCATCGCGGCGAGCATTTCTTTATTGGGAGGAGGAATGATGTTTGCTTCAATTCAGAACTGCTAGCTTGTCCAATAGGAAATCTATCTGCAATGACAGTGCTGCTCCCACACAGGGAAAGGCAAGATTTTTTGTTTCTAACTTTTTTTATTTTGTATCTAGGTCTTGTGTGATTGGTTGTAGGCATGATATTATTGGTTATGTTGGATTTGTGCTGACTACTCTTCTAGTTGTAGTTTGGAGCATGTTCTTCTTTTCTTTTTTTAGGTAAGGACTACTCTATTAGTCGTATTTATTTTGTTTTGCTTTTAATATATACATGGATTGTAGATTTGTAGGTATGACTTATTTGGTTACATTATTAAACTGAGGAGGATTAACTTGTGATTATACATTGACGCTTTGCTGGTGGACCTTATCACTTGTAATCTTTTCTACAAAAGCTGTATGCTGCAACCTGTAAATGTCAATGTAATTGCTTCCTTTGGAACAATTTTCCTCATACATGGGAAAGATTAAACCACCAAGCTTTGCTTTTTCTTGAGTGTTGTCGATTTGTAGTTTGCAATTAGTGAAGCACAAAACAGTTTCAGCTGTTTCTATAAGGCTTTTAAAACTGAGATACCTTCAGTGACAGAGACTTGAGAGGGGGTGGGGGATTTGTCGATTTGATGCTTGTACTGTTCTTTTATGGTTAATTATAGTGCTTTTATGTTTATAGATAATTTTGCTCTTGGATATTATGGAAATAAACGAAGGACATGAGTTATCATTTATTAGATCATTGTATTGATACCATCGGGTACATGTACCACTAATAATATGTCTCCCTCCAGTTCATTTTGTTTGCCTAAGCTTTCTGGTTGGTTCACTTTTGTGCAGTGTAAAGATTAGTGACTTCCAGCTTTTTCAGAACCATCTTGTTGTTTATGAGAGTGAAGGTGGTCTCCTGAAAGTAGTTGTCTATCGCCTTCCTGCCATAGATCAGCCGCTTGAAAACCTATTTGGGGGCCTCAATGTTGACTTTGTTGATCCTGCATATGATGTGCACCATCTGGAGTCGCAATTTTCTTCCAATGTTTTGAGGTTCTCATACAGCTCCTTGAGGACCCCACCTTCTGTGTATGACTATGACATGGACAGTGGAGAGCGTGTCTTGAAGGAAATTGACACAGTAAGTTTAATGTTTATTTTCTTGTTCAATTTGTAATGGTTTTTATTTTAATTTTCTTTCCAAGTCAATCACTTGCCTTTCAGGTATTAGGTGGTTTTGATGCATCAAAATACGTGACACAAAGAAAGTGGGCCACTGCATCAGATGGTACTCATATTCCATTATCGGTTGTCTATCGGAAGGATCTTGTAAAGCTTGATGGTTCAAATCCATTGTTGCTATATGGCTATGGATCATATGAGGTGATGTATTGCTTTGATAATTTTTTCGGGAACACTTCAGTTACAAAGATTTATTTAGCTGAGACATAACCTTTTGTATTATATTGTTATCACGTATATTTTTGAAAGTAAGTAGTAAAACTTTTGAGCCATCATATAATGAAAATAAAATAGACCTACCATCCTACCGTGAGAGTTTATTTGTGAGTTTGTGGATTTGTGCTGAATACACTTATATATGTCTGACAGTGACAAACTAACACAACTCCACTTTTATGTTTGGAGCTTCAATTTTTTTTATGCTTGTTAAACATGCTATATATATGTTGGCAGATATGCATAAATCCTACTTTTAAGGCATCAAGGTTATCTTTGTTGGACCGCGGCTTTGTTTTTGCCATAGGTCATATTCGTGGTGGTGGAGAAATGGGGAGGAAATGGTATGAGAATGGAAAATTATTGAAGAAGCTGAACACTTTCACTGATTTCATTGCATGTGCTGAGTATCTTATAGAGAATAATTACTGCTCAAAGGAAAAGCTGTGCATACACGGAGGAAGTGCCGGAGGATTGCTAATTGGTGGCGTCTTGAATATGCGACCTGATTTATTTAAGGCTGCTGTACTTGATGTACCATTTGTTGATGTTGTGTCAACAATGCTTGATCCAACAATTCCTCTGACGACTGCAGAGTGGGAGTTAACAAATGCACTCTCTTTTGATGGTGAATTACTGTCTATGGAGATACTATGACTTGCTCAGCTGAATATGACACTAGCACACACATCTACTGTCTATCATACTATCATAGAGGGTAGAATGGAAGTATGCAAACGACATATTCTACATTTTACTGCCCCCTTCCCCCCCCCCCCCCCCCTTCCAAGCTTAGAACTTGCATGGTCTAGGCCAAAGCATTGCCATAGCCCCCCTACGGTGCCTACTGGACTATTAGAAAAAAGCTGCCTGAGCACAATAATTTAGTTTCATGACCCACCTTTCTAACATAAATACGGAATACTATAATAAGGAGAGTTAAATAAATAATATATTGACGGGTACATACTGGCATGTAGCCATGTACTATGGCCTATGGAGTTTGCTTCTTACTGAGAGACAATACAATAGAAATTAGTTACTCGTATGTATTAACGGAATAACATTGACTTGTTTGCTGTGTAAAATTTACTGTATGTAGTTATGGGAGTGGGTTTACACATGGTAAAAGTTTCTATTACCCTTTTATTGTTATAGTTTTTTAGGTCGGGTCTATTTTAACCTCCCCTCCACAACCAAGTCTGGCATCACCCGTGTTCCATAGGATGCTACAGGTTATAACAATTATGTTGGATCATTCAATCCATTAGGAATTTTGCAAAATGCTGAAGCTTTTGTTTACATGCTATAGTTGTCAATTTTTATGTTTCTGTCTTTTGATTCCTTTTACTCTGAGGAGGCTGAGAAGGAAATTAGAAGTTTAGAACAGATTTAGATTTTAGTAACTGATTACAATTTATATATTATGTATAAATTGTAAGATGGATAGGACTAGATCCCTGATCAGAATTTACTGGACCTTGAACCAACTTTGTTGTTTGGATGTTATGAGTTATAAGAAGTATATTTCATAAGAATATAAGATATGCAGATACATAGCCAGCAGGCATTGATCATCAGCTGCATGGTTGTCGATGAGGGCATGCGAAATGACCAACAGCTCAGGGCTCCTCATCTAAGAGGGCCTCAAATTCGATATTCATTGTGTTATAGACTTTAAGTCACATTATCCCCTCTATTTTGTTTAGGAATTCCTAAGTTTGTATAAATGTATATATTTAGGTGATACATAAAACTATTATAGGATTTATTTTAATAATTAAAGCTGGGCCTCCAACATGTTTAGCTGCTGCAGAATTATGCTATTCCATCTGTTTAGATCTATACTAATTGTTTTGATCTAATATTTTAGTATGTACCAAGTATTTATCCGATCATCCCCCATAATTCTTGTTTCCCCCATGGTATACGTTGTTACAGGAATGGGGTGATCCTCGGGAAAAGGAGTTCTATTACTACATGAAATCATATTCCCCTGTTGATAATGTGAGTTCTAGGATATTTCATTCTATGAGTAACTCTTTTTAATCAAACTGTATTTGATTCCAGACTCCAGAGAGCTGTCATTTTGATTGATAAATTGTTGATGTGAACAGGTCAAAGCGCAAAACTATCCTCATATACTGGTTACGGCTGGCTTGCATGGTAAGTACTGCAATTTTCTGGTTTGTCAAACGCTTCAGTTTCATTAGCGCTAGAGTCATTCGTTCTTTATACAAAAGTTTATCGGATGAGATCAATAATTTGTGGCAAAATTGATGGTAAGTACTGCAATTGTCTTTGACGGTGTGTTCAATATGCTTGATCACTTGAAGAGGTTCCAATCCTTTGGAAGCTTTCTGGTTATTTCTTTTGGCAAGAGCGCCTTAGAAGTAGCAATAGTGGACAACCTTATTAGTTTAATATCTTTGAAACTTCCCTTTCACCATTCATCTATAACAATTTGTCAAAAATTCTCATTCTTGGAAAAGAAGCATCTTTCTGATTATGGAATTTGTAGTCAGTCCTTTTTCCAAACTGCTGTTTAGTAAGTGGTAGTATATTCTATATAGTGTTGATGGGCATGAAAAATCAATTCCATTCCCTTGGTAATGCTAGCTTACCCAAATTATCTCTTTTTCTTCACAAATTTTCACTACCATCTATCTTTGGAGTGGTGTTGGGTATTAATAGACATTATTTTTGTAAAAAAAAATACAAATTTAGGGATCAGATTGCATTACTTTGGATATTAGGATGTTACTCTGCTTGCCAAATTACACTTAAATTCATTTCCATTATTGCTGTTTATAACCAGCCACCAGCTGTGCTACAAGTGGTTTATCTTTCCAAGTGTGGCAGGTTTTATCTTCAAAAATTTGATCTACAGACGTTGGCACTCTGCTGTAGTTCAGTTCAGTTTTTTATGTAGTATTTTTTTTTTTTGGACCCACTCTTAAATTCAAATCATGCTGTGTCTGTGGCAGATCAGCGTGTGATGTATTCGGAACCTGCTAAATTTGTGGCAAAATTGAGGGAGTTAAAGACTGATGATAATACACTGTTGTTTAAATGTGATTTTGGGGCAGGGCATTCATCTAAATCAGGAAGGTAATCTTCCTTAATTTTTCTTGTTTATGTCTTTAATTTGAAAGTATGTATGTAAGATTTGATATTCTTCCACGGAATTATACGAGTAATTGGTGTTTTAATTAATGACAATGTATCCCTTTCACAAATTGGATTGGTCTATCATGATACAAAATGCCTTGGCAAATATAGTGATATGGAAAGGGGAATGATTTCCTGTGTCCTGTTTAGATCACCTGGACCAGCCATTAAGTTCAACCTAGACTTTTTCCAGTTTTCAATTGACGTGTTGACAATTTTACATACTCACTGCTAGTCTGCTACTCTATAAACAATAGTAACTTCTGCCTCGATGGCAAACCATAAAAGGCAAGTGCGAATATTCTAAGTACATTTAGTGATGGAGACACGGAGCTGTATAACAGTATCATTTGTTTTGTTATACTTCTTTCCATTGATCTCAATCATGAATGCCAATACATCTATAAATTATTTATTTATATATTTATTTTGATCCATACGCATCTTTTATTCTCAGATTTGAGAAGCTCCAGGAAGATGCATTCACATTGACATTTTTGTTGAAGATTTTGAATATGATTCCTGCTCCTGACACAACTATGACAGTGGAAGACTAGTTGCCAACGCTCCCCCAATTGGTCTTTCTGCAGAAGGCCATTTGTGCACTGTAAGTTGTTTCTGAAGTGATGATGTCTTCCCTGTTTTGGAAGTTGAAGGTTGCCATCCGTTGATTTCAATTTCTCGAAAAAGGGTGATGTCGTCAGCCACAGCTTTAGAATCAGGCCTAAACGCAATGGGGTGCTTCCATGCTTAAAGCATATGGTTAGGTATTTGCGTTTCACCCTAGGGTTTTCGAAAATCCTAGGCGTTTGCCTGGGTTTCGATTTTTTTTTATTTTTTTAATTGTTTTAGTTGTTCGTATTTTCTAAGCGTTTCATCTCAACCGCCCAGATTTTTCGTACAACCATATGGTTATTCGAACGAACTAGGCGTTTGAGCCTAGGTTGTTCGAAAAAACAAAGCGTTTGAACCCGATTTCAGAAAATAAAAAATAAAAAAAAACAAAAACAAACCTTGTCTCCGGCGACCGCCTTCCCCTTGTCATATCCACGACTGTGTAGATTGAGAAACTGGAGGTTAAAGGAGGTAGTGGTTGGTGGTTAAAAGAGGAGGTGGTGGTTGGTGGTTTAAAGAGGAGGAGGAGGTGGTGGTGGTAGTAGTGGGTGGTAAAAGGAGGTGGTGGTGGTGGTTTAGAGAGAGAAGAGGGAGTGAGGGTGGGTAAATTATGTTTGAGGGGGGTAAATTTTTTTAAATATAAGGGTAAATTTATAAAATATATTTATTTTACGGACGTTAGTTAGATATTTAAAGGCGACGTTTAGCTTTTTACAAAAAAAAAAACTACATTTTGTTATTTTAAAATTTATGATTTATACACCAATGACGATAAAATTGAACCACCCTTCTCCTAATCCTTAAAATAATGCGGGCACAGATATTTGAATCCAAACTACAAGTATTGTTTTCATTCTCCAAATCCTTATTTCCCAGAATTAAAATTGTCAACGCCAAACTCAAATATTCAAGCTCATCAATGGCGACGCATGAATCAGGAGAGAGAATGACAACGCCGCCGATTGCCAAGAAGGAGAAACATCAGATTGAGATGTTCGGCGACGTTAGAATCGACGACTATTATTGGCTCAGGGATGATTCTCGCTCTAATTCCGATATTCTCTCTCATCTTCGCTCTGAAAATTCTTACACTGATTTCGTCATGTCCGGTAATTTTTATTCTTTCCAACTCTAAATTATCATCAATCTCTCAAATCAATAAAGGAGATTAATTCATAGATTCCTGGGAAGAGTAATTATGTATAATGAATTTGTTTTATTTAGGGACCAAGCAGTTCGAAGAAAAGTTGTATGCAGAGATTAAAGGACGAATAAAGGAGGATGATATGTCTGTTCCGCTACGGAAAGGGAACTACTATTACTATGAAAGGACCCTGGAAGGGGAGGAGTATGTCTGCCACTGCAGGCGTCTTGCTTTGGACGATGGAACCCCGTTGTCGGTGTCTCATACTATGCCCACCGGCCCTGAGGCTCCTCCTGAGCATGTTATACTTGATGAAAATGCTAAGGCTAAGCAGCACGCCTATTACTGCGTTCATGCCTTTAAAGTAAGCCCCATCTTAATCATCCCTACTTTTGTAAACTTAGTTTTGGCTTTTGACCCGTGATTTCTCCAGGTTAGTCCAAACAATAAGCTGGTGGCATATGCTGAAGATACTAAAGGGGATGAGATTTATACTATACATATCATTGATGCTGAGACTTTAGAACCTGTTGAAAAGCCTCTAGTGGGTGTGACGTGTAATGTGGAATGGGCAGGTAACGGGGCCTTGTTATACACCACGTTGGATGAGATCCTTCGACCAGACAAGGTATCAATATTGTACTTCAACTTAGGCTTAGTTTCTTAAGTATTTGTCAGATGCTTCTGCTTCTATTTTCTAATATTTATGCCAGCCATTTGCATCTTAAAGTGTCCTCGTGTGAACTATGGGAGCTTTGGGGTCTTTCTTGTCATGGTTAATTGATTCTGAAGGTGATTTATTGTCTACTATAGAAGAGAATAGAGGTGCATCGTATATTAGAACAATGAATGCATCCATACTGGATATCATTCATGTACAACCAGTTTAATAGTTTAATCAATTTGATTTAAACCCAAAACGTAGCTACTTTCACTGATAGCGGTATATAGCTGGATTTTTGCCTTCCATTCTCTGCATTTCATAGGTATGTTGGATCCAAACAACATATGTACAAGAATCTCTAACACCACACCCTCTCCGCCATCCATTTTCGCTCATTTAGTAAAGGCCTTTAAATTTCAAATATGACATTCAATTCCATTTGTAAGGTGATATATACCTAATAGACAAAAGCCCGTGTTTGGTTGATTCTTCTGAACAAGATCCATGTGAATGTTTGCTTAGTGGTTAAAAGGACCAATAAATGATTCTATTAATCTGATTTGTGTGAATGTAAATGTGAAAAAATATAGCAAGCCTTCAATGACGCTTTAATTTTAGAGGTTTGGAAAATTTGTACATGTTTTCATCATGCATGATGCTAAGGGTATGTTTTATAAACTTGATTTTGTCTAAACTTACCCAAACTTATTATACCTTATAGAACTTATTTTAGTTTTAAATTGAACTTGGGTAGCCTGTATAAAGTTTGTTAACTAAGATACTTGGGATTAGATAAGTGACTTAAATTGAAGAATACTTTCTCATGTTATGGTGAGCTTGTTTGGTGATCGACCGATTGATAGGTGTGTCGTGCACCTAACAAATATAAGGGTCGAATCCAAAGAGACAAACCGACTTAAATTGATTAAGTTGCAAGTAACCAATCCAATTTTTAAGAGTAATTAAACTAATCAAAATAAGGAGATTTTAAAAATTAAATTAAGAATTAAAGACATTTAGAACTTGATAATTCCACTAATGCGGATTAAAGCACTAAAATTATTCTTTTTCCCTCAATTAAATTAATAAACAGTCATAGGTTGAATATTCTTACAATGGTACCAAGAGTATCTTTCGATCAATTATTGGCTTCCTTGACTTGTAAATAGATGTAATCATACATTCATACCTTTTTCATTGAATCATACATACTAAAAACTTTAAGAATGACATCATATAAGTCCTACAAGAACATTTAGCTATTTTCATGTATGTAAAGTCCTTAATTTGGACTAGGGTTCTAATTCACCTAAGAATGTATTTGTTGTAAACCTAATCACATTCAATAACACTATTTTAGTTGTTTATTGATGATAAAATTAACCCTAACAAATAAGATTATAAATTAATTAAATTGGAAATCGAAACACACATCAATCTATATTAAGGATTAAACCATGCCCTAAATTATGAAATTGCCCACACATAATAATTAAATAAATTATTAAAAGTAAGCATTATAACAATAATAATATTTCCTCCGTTCCAATATTATTGCAACAATTAGACTTTTACACCATTCATCACTCTTGTTTGACCATATAATATGATTTATACGTTAAGCAAGATATAGTCATTTGGGATCTTGTTAGATTCGTCTTATAAAATACTTTCACAATATCAACTTTTTACAATTTATTACTCTTATACAATTATAGATATTTAACATATAAAATGTGCTTTGGGATGCGTAATTTCATCCTTGTTGCAACATTATTAGAACAGAGGAAGTATGAATTAAAGGAAGTAATAATACTTGGATTAATTTCATTAATAAGAAGCACTAAATGAAACTTGAGCAAACCAAAAGCAAAATTAAGAACAAAGCCTAATTTATACAATAAATAGTACACTATAAGGTGTGTATTAGATTGATTGTTTATATTTTAAATTCCAATGCCTAATAATCTCCAAAATTGATTGTTCAATTGAAATTACATGAGCTTTGGGTTTAGTTGTGGACTTGTGGGTACCCCTGTGATTTCGATTTTGATTTCAGCTTAGTATTCGCGTGATTGTTGTTCGATTAAATTTGGAAATTTTGTGAATTATTGATGGCTTGCTCTACCACAAATAAGCAAAAGAGAACCCATGGGGTTTGACAACCCATAACTACACCTAAGGGTAAGGGTTTTACATGCAAGAGTAAATCTTTAGGTGATAATGGAAAAAACTGTTTTCCTAGGTAAATGAAAAATTGGTCATCGACCATGATGACATCAATTTCAATGGTGATGCACAATACAAGAAGTTGTTGCCATTCTTTATTGTGAACATGATACTCTCAAGGCTTTACATATTGAAGATGGTGTTATTTGCTCTTTTACAATGTTGGATGGGGTGGTTTTCTAATGCATAAATACTCAACATATAAAAGAGTCATACTAGAATTTTTGATATGTTGGTATGATTACTTTTTGCCTACACAATGAAAAACACACATGGATCTTGGCTAAGCTTGATGAGGTTATCGTTTGCCCACTGGTGATTCGGAGAAATTTTAGAATGTTGGTCACCTTTTGGAGCATGTTAACTGAGAAAAATGACAACTGACTCGAAGGGGAGTCCTGGTGCTCGAAAGTTGGTCGTCTTTGGAGCATGTTTGATGTCTGCCCACTGGTCATTCAGCTCTCTATTTCCATCTGATGTGTTGTTTTTGTCAAAATATAATCTGTCATAGAATTTGCTCTGATTAGCCTCTTTTGTGCCATATGCAAAATTGACAGGTGTGGTTGCATAATTTGGGAACAGAACAATCAAGTGACTCTTGCCTTTATCATGAGGAAGATGAAAAGTTTAGTCTTGGTATTAATATTTCTGAGAGTGAGAAGTTTTTGTTTGTTGCATCTGGAAGTAAAACTACGAGTTTTGTCTTCTACCTGGACACTTCAAAACCTGAAGATGGCCTCAAGGTTTTGACTCCTCGGACAGAAGGTGTATCCACATATGTCGGTCATCGTGGTGACCATTTCTTTATAAGGAGGAGGACTGATGCGTGCTTCAACTCGGAATTGCTAGCATGTCCACTGGAAAATCTGTCTGCAATGACAGTTCTCCTTCCACATAGGGAAAGGCAAGACTTTCAGTGTTCTTTATTTTATTTTTCTGGTTTTTTAGTATTTATCTTGTGTGCTTGGTTAGTTGGTCGTAGACCTTGATTTCTTTGTTTTAATGGACTACACCACTCTTCTAGTTGTAGGCTAGACTTGTTAGAGTATTTTCTTTCTTTTTTTGTTTAGAATTCTACAAGACTTATTTTGACCAATGTGTATTCAATTTATACCTGGATTGTAGACATGACTTTTGTGGCTATGTTGGGCTTGAGAGGATCAACTTGTAATTATGCATTGGTGCCTGGTTGGTGGACCAAATGTATATCATGCTGCATGCTTTTATACTTGTATGCTTTATTGTTTTTAGAATTGTCAATTTTAATTATAAATGCTTCCTTGAGAAACAATTTTTTTTCATACATAATAAGGAGAAATCAAACCATCTAGATGTCTTGTATTTGTAGGGTGATGACTTATTACTGTTTGCATTCATAAATCAGTGGATCCTAATATAGCTCTTTTTCAAAGTAAAGCTGGGAATCTGAAAAATCTGAATTTTATGATAGATTATTATTTTTCGTACTAGCTCAAGAGAATGCTAAAAGAAGAACATATTGTCTTATGTTTATGTTGATCTTATATGGTTAAAAATAATGCTCTGTGTTTAAAGAAAATTCTTTTAGGTGTCTTCAGAAACAAAATATATTATTCATTTCATTGATTTTGGAGGATACAACAGTTGTTACCTTATCTAAGTTCTGTAATTGATAGCCTGAGGGTTGGGGGTTGGTTGGCTTTTTGCAGCGTAAAAATTAGAAACTTCCAGCTTTTTCAGAACCACCTTGTCGTGTTTGAGCGTGAAGGTGGTCTCCCTGAGGTAGTTGTCTATCGTCTTCCTGCCATAGGGTTGCCACTTGAAAACCTTTCTGGGGGCCGCAAAGTTGACTTTGTTGATCCTGTATACGATGTGCATCCTGTGGAGTCGCAATTTTTTTCCAATGTTCTAAGATTTTCATATAGCTCCTTGAGGACTCCTCCTTCTGTATATGACTATGACATGGACAGTGGAGAGCGTGTCTTGAAGAAAACCGATACAGTAAGCTCATTTTTATTTGCTTGTTCTTATCCTTTTTTGTTGTGTTCTGTGTCTCTGTTTCTTTTCTTTAATTCCTCTTATGAAATTTCCTCTGTTTCAATTTTTGATACGAGATAGTCAATATTTATTATTCCAATTCATCCACATGTTCTCTAGGTATTAGGTGGTTTTGATTCATCAAACTATGTGGCAGAAAGAAAGTGGGCCACTGTGTCAGATGGTACTGATATTCCATTATCAGTTGTTTATAGGAAGGATCTTGTGAAGCTTGATGGTTCTGATCCGTTGTTGTTATATGGCTATGGATCATATGAGGTGAGCCATATGTTTTTCTTTGAGCCTTTGATGATAGTCACTACTGTCTTTTGCATTGCAATCACTAGACATTTTCAGTTACCTGCTTGAAATCCTATGTCCTTTTGGATACATTACAAATTACATGTTTTCTCTTTATGTTATCCTTATACTTTGACATAACGCATTACATTTAGTTCTTTCCATCGTTTGTTATCTTGGAAGATAGTGTAAATTTAACCTTTGAGCCTTTATATATTATCTTGAAAACTTCTGCTGGGAGAGTTGTTGTGGATAGTTCTTAATATTTTCTAGTATCTGGAATGACATGCATACATCCTATTTTATGTTCTTAATATGTCTTGGCAGATTTGCATAGATCCTGCTTTCAAAGCATCAAGGTTATCCTTGTTGGACCGTGGCTTCATATTTGCAATAGCTCATATACGTGGTGGTGGAGAAATGGGTAGGAAATGGTACGAGAATGGAAAATTATTGAAGAAGCTGAACACGTTCACTGATTTCATAGCATGTGCTGAGTATCTTATAGAAAATAAGTACTGTTCAAAAGAAAAGCTCTGCATACATGGAAGAAGTGCTGGAGGATTGCTAATTGGTGGCGTATTGAATATGCGCCCTGATTTATTTAAGGCTGCTGTACTTGGTGTACCTTTTGTTGATGTTGTGACAACAATGCTTGATCCAACGATTCCTCTGACAACTGCCGAATGGGAGGTATCCTATATCTTCTCTCTCCTAATAGCAGATAATGATGTGTATGGAGACCCTACACCCATACATGTATAATTGTATCATGTTTTTGCTTCCTGGAGCCTAGGTTAACATAATGGGCAGAATGTCAAATTTTACCAAATGCTACTTCCTCTCCCTCCGTTGAATTTGCGATCCCTTTTCAGATAATAAAAGGGGAAGTAAACACCTATATTTAGACATAGAATATTTCTTCCTTTTAAAAGGATGTCATAGGAATAAAAAAAAAATTGTCAATTACTTGTATATCTTTTTCTTTTGTTTTTTTTTTACTAGTTTTTATTTTTGATCTTTTCATTCCCTTTTCCTTTTCTTTTTTTTTTGGGAGGGGGGTTGGAATAACGACTTATGATTACCGCTTAACTAAAATAAGAGGTGGGACTGCCACTATTTAGGGGAAGCCAAGACTCAAGTGAGCAATTTTTCTCTTAGTCGTGAAACTGTATACTAGGATTAGCCTATTAGCTCCTGGTCGGTGGGTCAATGGTAATAGACCTTGAATCAACTCTGTAAAATATGTACTACGTAATTCAATGTCCTGCAGGCTGTAGCCTGTAGGTCAAAATTGGTTGTCTGCTGATGCAGAATATTGCTAATTCATATTGTCCAGATTAACAATAAAAAATTTTGATCTTCCTGATTGATATGGACTAACTTGATGTCCTCCATAGACCATTAAATTTTCAAGTAATTGCAGCATGCTATATGTTCTGACAGGAATGGGGTGATCCTCGGGAAAAGGAGTTCTATTTTTACATGAAATCTTATTCCCCAGTAGATAATGTGAGTTGCACAATTTATTTTCTCAATAGTTTCATTCATTGGCACTCTATAATTGATTTTGGTGAGTTGTCATTCTGATTGATAAACCACTTATGTGAACAGGTTAAAGCGCAAAACTATCCTCATATACTGGTTACAGCTGGCTTACATGGTAAGTACTAAGATTTTATGATTTGTCATGAGCATGTAGGCTTACATGGTAAGTACTAAGATTTTATGATTTGTAATGAGCATGTAGGCTTACATGAATACATGGTAAATACTAAGATTTAATGATTTGTCATGAGCATGTGTAAGAAGTTAAGAACCGGTTGTTCATCCCCTTGTGGTGGTTAGTCCATTATAAATACTCTGTATGTTTTATGGACAAAACCCAAACCGTCTTCTTATGGTAGTATCCTTGATCAATTGACTTTGTAAGCTTTACGGTTTCTTTAATTTGGCAAGAGCGCATTAGACAAAGCAAACTGAGGATGCTATTTTTCTGTTTTTAGAAGTGCATCTTCCTTGTTACTTCCCTTTTACCATTCACCTTTGCAGACGATTTATCACTTCATCGATAAAATCTAACTTCCTGTAAGATTAATTATTCCAGGATTGGTAGGCTTTGTCGTTGAAATGTGATCGACAGTGAATGACATCCCATTGTAGTTCATTCTCAGGCAGAGTTTTCATGTCCCGACTTCCAAATATAATTTTTATTGTATCTATGGCAGATCCCCGTGTGATGTACTCGGAACCTGCTAAATTTGTGGCAAAACTGAGGGAATTGAAGACTGATGACAACACACTGCTGTTTAAATGTGAATTTGGCGCAGGACACTTTGCTAAATCTGGAAGGTAATATTCTTTGCTTTTTCTAGGTCAATTTCTATGAGCTAAAAGTATAATATGACTTTAAAATGTCATTTTGTTACGAAATATGTAGGAAATTAGGAATGGTATAATATGACTTTAAATATGTAGGAAATTAGGAATGGTCTACTCCAAGGGGGCGTTTGTTATGAGGTATTAAAGAAAGGGAAAGAGAATCAAGAGGGTTGATTCCCTTGTTGGTTTTTTAATGACATTTTGTTCATTCCCTTTACCCCCTCCACTCCCCCAAAGTCTTCTAGCTTGATTCCCTAGCCCCCTTTGGTATTTCAATTCCCTTTCCTTAGCCACCTCCACACCAACATACCTCTATCATTGCCACCACTGACAGCACTACCCTCACCACCACCAACCCACGCCCACGGCACAACCCTTCCACTAGCAACCCATCACCGCCACTCTCACCACTCACGAAACCCCCACCTTAACCCACACCACCACTTTCACCACCCACAAAACCCCAACCTAAAACCCATCACCATGCGTCCATGCCTAGAAAACCAAAAATCAACCGTCATCTACTAAAAACCCACCACCACCTTTGGAAACTCACCCTAACCCACCCAAAATCAACCCTCATCAACCGAAACACCCCCCCCCCCTCTCTTTTTGACTTTAGTAAAAGTAGATCTTAGATAGAAGAATAAAGAGAAAGTGAAGGAGAATTAGAGAACGAGGGGTATTGCTCCAAGTGAAATGGATGGTAGAGGTCTGGTAAAACTGCGTTGCAAGTGAGACAGTGCTCCGATGATTAGGGTCCTGCTAGTTTAGTTGTGGAGGTGGAGATGGGGTTGAGAAGGAGTAGTGGTTTTGTTGTTGCTATTTTTTTCCTTCCTCTTCGTATTAAACAAACAACATAGCAGATGTAAGGGATTTTAAACTTTTAATTCCTTTCTCTTCCTTACCCTTACCCTTTCCCTTTGTTTTACCAAATGTACTCTAATTGTTAAAGTTTGCCTCAGCAAAGTGAGTTAGTGCCAAGGGAATTGCATTCTTGGAGGCTTATCTAGATCGCCTCCCAGCCTTATATATAAACTTTTGTTGGTTAATTAATGCTGTTTTATTGACAAGTTAGCTTCATATACTATCACCACTCTATGAACATTGATAAACCTTTTCCTTGACTAAACTGCAAATTTGAGAGTGCAGTTTTTTTAAGTGTGTAAATTATAATGAAAGTGAATTAAAATACCATAACTATCCTCATTCATTAAATTTTTTTCCTCCCCCAGATTGATGTGATAGTGCTCTGGAATTGTAAGTTAAGAATTAAGTTATGGGTAATTCAGAAAATATGAAGCTAAATTTAGAAAGTTCTTTTCATTTGGTGACAACCTAAATTGGAAACATGGCCTATTTTTGGGATCGAAGGGAGCTATAGACTCGTAGAGCGTGTCGGGAGACTCAGGACAACATATTCTCTTAAATACTTATTGCATTTTTATTTTTTTTTGTTATGGATGCCTGTATGGATTTTTATGATCTGACATGCTAATTTATAATTCAGATTTGAGAAGCTCCAGGATGATGCCTTGACATTCACATTCCTGTTAAAGATTTTAAACATGATTCCTGCGCACGAAACAGCTTAATGATGATCTGTCACTAGTTGCCAATTCTCCCATGCAGCCTGTTCGCTGAAGGTCGTTCAAGTTTGTTTGGAGATGATGGTGTCTTCCTTGCTACTATGATAAATGAAGGCTTTTGTCTCTGGAGATAATCAATTCAAGCTGAAAACTTCTGTAGCCAACCAACTTCAGAAGTTTTGCTGAAGCAACCTTTCACGATTAGAGTAGATCAATTGTTTTAACTACACTTGTATTTATTTGATTTGATTTTATTGAATTATTTAGTTACTATTAAAAAGTGGATCAGGAATTATGTTATACACTGATAATCACCTGCTATCATCATAAGCAACTCCATTAAATTGTAAAATGGGATTGGTGAGAATGTTTCTTTCTGATTTAATTGGAACACCTATCAAAGAATTTTCAGGAAAAAATTTAAACCTGGTAGATATAAAAAGAAACTCATATAGGCTAAACTACTCATTAGATTTAACCGATGTTGAAGAGGTCTTCGGTCATCCGTCTTTTTTCAATCTAGGGCTGACCAAAAATATTATAAGATCTAATCCACATCCATTATGATACTAATTTCAAATTGAATATCTAATCTGAAAATTTCGGATAATGGATATCGAATCCAAATGTCAAGATTTCAAATGACGGATATCCGATCCAAATATCCAAAAATTGGGTATTACTTTGTATTTCACATTTAAAATAAAATAAAATTTATTATAATACCTCCGATTCTTTTTAGTTGCAACAAACATAGATATTGCAGACTCCTAGGCAAAACTTTTAAGGGGGTTAATGAATTGTATGGGTATGTAATTAAGAGAGATTAAAAGGAGGGAATTGTTCATTTAATTCAAACAAAAGCCTCTTATAAAAAGAGGACACCTCATAACAACCAAGCCATTTTCAGTATTTGTTTCAATGGGGATTAGGGGGGGGAACCATAGTTAATGTTTACAAAAATCACAAGTTTAGCTTTAAAAAATAAGGCAGCCACCTACAAATTACATCATCCTACACTTAAATCAGAATTACCCTAATTTCTAATTGGTGTGTTAGTACTAGCAGCATCTATATTTACAGAAATTAGGCTCCGTTGAAGACCGTCCAAAAAAAATCCAGCTGCCACTTCATCACCACAAGCCAACCTGAAAAAAAGATAAGGGACTCATGGCAGAGTTCATCGAAGAACTTTTTTTATTTTTTTATTTACATCAACTGTATGATGAAGAACAAGCTATGACATCACACCACCAGACAATGAATGAAGCATACAAGGAAGATGAATATCCATGGTGGTATGAATCAAATGGGGATCAACAGTAAGGCAACAATGCAGATGCAGATGGTTATGATGCAAATGGTTATGATGACAACAATGATCATCCACACAATTATGGCAGAAACAGCAGAGAAATGAACGTTTAAGAAAAAAGGGCACTAGTTGATGAGATTCTGCTGCACATGGAGGGGGACTCATTACCAAGAGGATTTTTATCCAACTTGGCAAAAAAACATTATGTGCACAGATCAACAACAACAACAAGGTGGTTCTAGGTAATAAAAAAAAAGCCATAGAAGAAGGAAATGTCATAGATGATCAGGCAAACCCAAACCCAGGAACTTCACTATAGGTGATCAAAGTTAGCCCGACCCGTTGGTCCGGCCCGATTTTGGGCAGAATTTTTTGACCCGATATCAGGTTGGGCCCGACCCGACCCAAATTTTTATTTTGGCCGGGTTTGTGAATGTGTTTTTATGTATATTTAGTTGTTTTTTAGGCCCGAAAAGCCCGCCCCGACCCGACCATTTTGGTGGGTTTGGGCACAAAAACTCTGGCCCGAGAAATGGGCGTAATTTTTTAGCTTCGGCTCAGCCCGCCCAATGATCACCTCTAGAATTCAGTGATGAATTCCTAATATCAATTCCCTTGTACAAGAGAACCACTAAAATGGGCTATGTTGCAGCCCTTCACATTTGAAAATCAACTTTGCATAGGCTAAGAAAGAAAGGCAAACTTAGAACACACACAAGCACAAATCGTCCAGCCCTTACTGATAATCACAAAATTGCAAGACTTAAGTCGGTTCTCAGTCACATGCACTCCATCCCAGCAAAAGGGACCCAACATTCATTGACATGCAACAAGTCATTCACATAGATGAGAAGTGGTTTTTCATAAACCCAGAAACAAGGACATTCTACCTTCTCCCTAAAGAAGGAGATCCTTACATTGCCCAACAGTCAAAGAGGTTCAAGATCAAGGCAATGTTTATGGGAATGATAGGGAAGCCCTTGTATGATGCAAACAAGAACCTGTTGCATGATGGGAAATATGGTCTTTTTCCTTTTGTCAAGTATGAAATGGCTAAAAAAAAGTAAAAACAGAGAGAAAAGGACCCTAGAGACAAAGGTTGTGCAAAGTGTCACCAAGGATGCAATCAGGGACATGTTACTCACACATGTCATCCCAACAATTCATGAAAAGTGGCCTGCATAATTGCCTAAGGACATAACAATCCAATAGGATAATGTTGGGCCACATCAAGTTCCTAAGGATGCAGAATTTCAAGCAGCTTGTCAAGCAAATGGTTTCAACATTTAATTCATACATCAGCGAGCACAGTCACCAGACACAAATGTTTTAGACTTAGGACTGTTTAGTGTGATTCAATCACTGCAATACCAATCATTTCCAAAGAACCTTGATAATCTGATCTTATAAAGGAAGTTGACAGAACTTTTGCAGAATTTGATCCAACATTGGATAAGTATACATGGATCACACTACAGTCTTGCATGCTTCAAATACTGGAAAGGCAAGGTGAGAACAACTACACACCACCACTGATGTGAATCGAGTCCCCTTCCTTATAACTATTTTTATTGCTTTATTTAGGTACTCTCTTGGTTTTGCCTTACTCTTAAAGTAGGGGTTTTACAAGTGAGTTTTTAATAATGTTTTTATTATTTTCTTAGTAGTAGTTATGGGGCCTTGGGCTTCCAAAGTTGTGTTAATTAATTAGTGGGCTCTCTTGGTTCATTAATTAATTATTAGGGCTTTTTATTTAGTTTGCTTGCAGGGCAAGTAGGATAGATTTATTTTTCCTATATATACTAGTTGTATGTCAATTATTTTAACAAGATGTTTTATGAATTATAATTTGAGATTATTGAGCTTTTGCTTGAAGAGAACTTTGTTAAGGTTCAAACTAGTTGTTAACTAGGGTTTTGGGATCGTTACTCCTAAAATCAAACTTAGAAGTCGTTGCCTTCTAAGACTATCTTTCAAATTTCCACCCTTAAAATCACTCAAATCCTTCCATCAAATATAAACCGTCAAAATACACATCAAATTGGTATCAGAGCCAGGTTTTGTAAGTTCTCCCGACTTACACGATTGATAAGAAGAAAAAAAAAAATCCTTATTCGTACTCAAGCGGATGAATTGCAGAATTCGTTGGTATCTGTGCAAAAGGTACTCGTAACTTCTACATAGTAGTTTACTTGTTGGTATGTGCTCTTAATTTGCTTGGTGAGTTAGTGGAATTGCTGCCAAATTACAAAGTATTGGTTTAGTTAGAAGAATAAGTTGTGCCGTCATTATTGTTGTGTTGCAGTTATCGTAGTCGGTGGTATTAATTGAATTTTAAAGCATACTAATTTAAGGTGATTGTATTTTGGTAATTAGTTGCTTTGTTTGCTTTATCAAAATATTTTTATTGCCTTTAGTACGACTTGCTGCAAGATTATTATTTTTGGAGATAATTGGCCACGAATAGGACTGTGATTATTTTGACATCATGAGTACTTTAACAAAGGAAGATCTGGATACTATGCTTGTTGATATGATGAGAAATTTTAATGCGAGTCTTGAACGAATGAATGAGAAAATTGAGAAGAGTACACAAGAAATTGCTCAAACCAATCAAAGGGTTGAAACTTTGTCTACTCAAGTGATTGGGGAAGGAAGAATAATCAACAACGAACAACCTAGGGGAATCATGAGAAATTTTCCAATTGACAATGATCGAGATTTGAAGTTGTTGGAACTTCCGGAATTTACAGGTGATGGGGATGCCGAAGACTTTTTAGATTGGGTTCGTCAGATGGAAAAGGTCTTTGATTATAAAGGTTTTGATGAGCAAAAAGCCTACAAGGTTGCAAACCTAAAACTGACGAGATATGCTTCTCTATGGTTTGAGAATTTACGTGCCAAGAGATTGAGAGAAGATGAGCCACGAATTAATACTTGGAACGAGTTGAAGAGACAATTAAGGAAACGGTTCCTACCACGGGAATTTATCCAAGATCAATTCTTGAAGTTGAATCATCTTGAACAAAAGAATCTTAGTGTCGCTGAATACACTAAAGAGTTTGAGAAATTGTGCATGCTTTGTGATTTGCAGGAAAAAGAGGAGATGAAGATTGGACGATACATAAAAGGGTTAACACCTTCGATTTCTCACAAGGTGGAAACATCAAATTATGTGTTCTTTGATGATGTCTTAAGGTTGGCAGAGAGATTTGAGAAACAGGAGAAAGAAAAGAAAATTTCTTATTTCAAGGAGAGGAAGTCATTCTTTAATGGTGAGGGTTCGAATATCAACTCTAACAATTCAAACAATGAAGGGAAGATGATTGTTGTTACTCCCGAACAAGCTGCATTGGCGAAAAAAGTTTGTTTCAAGTGTCAAGGCATGGGACACATTGCTAGAGATTGTGGTAACAAAGTGACGGTATCCAAGAAGGAACATAGAATGTTGTTGGCTTATCTTGACCAAGAAGAGAAAGAGAAGGAGAGTACATGTTTGCTCAATACAGAGGAAGAGTTTGATTTTGAAGAGTTTGAGGGTCAAGAAAAGATTACTCCTGAACCTGAACATCACCATATCGGTATCTTAAGGAGAGTTTTGCATGCTAATTTTGTTCCTCCTACTACACATGAGCAAAGGGAAAATTTGTTCCATACTATATGCAAAGTGGGTGATAGGAGTTGCTCGTTGATTATAGATACGGGATCGTGCACCAATGTTGCATCTACTAAGTTGGTTGACACTATGAATCTTTCTACTAGGGACCATCCTACTCCTTACAAGCTTAATTGGTTACATGATGGAGATGGACTACAGGTTAAAAGGCAAGCTTTGGTGAACTTTTCCATGGGTTCATATTCTGATAGTGTATGGTGTGATATTTTACCTATGACTGCTTGTTCTATACTCTTGGGTCGTCCTTGGCAATATGATCGAGGGGTGTTATTTAATGGTGTTACAAATGTTTATTCAGTGAAGGTTGGGGATAAGAGAGTCCAATTACATCCTTTACCCCCTAAGGCGCCACCTATTCAAGCTCCTGCTAGAGAGTTGTTGATTATGCCTAAACTTAACAAAAAGGAAAGAAGGGCTAATATGTTGTC